TAGATCGGAATTGGTTCGGAATTTGATCGTCTATCCAGAGCTTTAAAATGCGAATGAGGAGGGATACACGAAGACAACAGATCTCGGGCAGCACTCCGTACAGTTACAATCTTCTGATTGTAAAAATAGTCCTTGCGTTTTGTAATTTAAACATGCTTAAATCACTTAATTTGCCTTTATTTTCTTCCTTCATTCTTGCCTCCGTTCAATTTTTTTCACAAATCAAAAAAAGGGTGGGTTAAACTGAGATATATCGGCGATTCTTCTACTTTGAGGGGAGCGCTGCATGCTTATTTCAGAGAAGTATATAGGCTTGTGACAAAGGGAACGCCCGGTGAAAGGATGGCGACAGTGGGCTTTGGATGAGATGAGGGAGTGCCAACTCTCTGATGGGTTGTAGGAGGACCAAGTTTTGTGGCGGTTATAGGCGTCGCAGAGCGCCGGAGAGCGCTGCGAGAGCGACGCGACTCTCATGTAAGTATAGAGGCTTGTGTTAGGGTGTTTTGCAATGTATACGCAATTTCCGGGGAAATTGTGTGCGTCATTTGTACCGAGAATTTTGGGTTCTGGACTTTAGCAAGAGCGAGTGACGTCATCAGACGCAGTTTTCCGGATGGATGTTTCCGCGTTCGTGGCGTCACCTGGCCGGCTTTTCAGGGCCTTTAGCTTTGGCTCTGGACAGTCGGCTACGCGATTTGGTAGAGTTTGCATTCGCCGAGTTCCGACGCCCTAAGCACTCGGAGATTGGTTTGCTTACTTTTGGTGTTAAGTGCAGTTTAGTGGTCAAAAAGTTCGTATCTTCGTCGTTTTGTATTAGTTCGTGGGTGATTGAGGGAATAAAGGGTGATCCCCATCAAAGTCAAGTTAGGAGTTATTTAGTTATCTCCCCTGTATTGAGCTACGCTGCGCTCTCAAAGCAGGTACGCTCCGAGATCAAACTGCACCCATCTCACTCCGGGTCCATTACAGTATCATGAGGGGAGAAAAGGGGTCAAAAATCAAAACTTTAAGCGTTACGAGTTCAGGGCGTCTACTACATCAGGCTGGCCAAAATCAGTACTTTTTGGGTACATTTCCAAGAATTTAAGTCTCAACAAAAAATTTCAGTACTTTTTCAGTACTTTTTAATTGGCTAAATTCGAAAATTTTTAAAAATTTGAATTTTTCGCTGAAATTTCGACAAAAATGATGAAAAATGAAAAAAAATTCCGGACCTTCTTGCGGAATTTCCGCACTTTTTCAGTACTTCCGGACTGTCCTTGAAAAAGCAGTACTATTTCCGGACTTTCTGGACGTGTAGACACCCTGTTGTTTAATGAACGGTCCCTGCGATCCCTTAGTCCGTGAACGTTCAGATTTGCTGGAAATTTTCGAGAAATTTCAAAATTTAAATTTCTCGCTCAAATTGCGACAAAAATAACACAAAAATGAAAAAAATTCCGGACCTATTTGCAGAATTTCCGCACTTTTTCAGTACTTCCGGAAAAAAATCAGTACTATTTCCGGACTTTCCGGACGTATAGACACCCTGGTGTTAAATGAGCAGTCCCTGCGATCCTTTAATCTGTAGACGGTCAGATTTGCAAAATCCCTCTCCTTGGCGGTGGATTGGATAAGGTTGGAAAAAGCTCACCCGGTGTGGAAAGTTGAAAAAGTGGGAAAATCGCGCGGCACAGTCAGACACCGATGCAGCGGCCGGATGATCGGGGGAGCGGGGGCGGGGCGGCGGGGCGAGGGTCGCGCGCGCGGTTGGATTCGGGGAAAATTAAGCGGTTCCGGTGAAAGCGGCGCTTGAAAAAGCAGTCCCCGCGCGTGCATCGCTCCATCTCGCTCCGAGTTAAGCTACACAAGCGCGGAGCCGGCTCCTCGTCGCTCGTCTATTTCATGCACTCATGACGTCAGCCTCATCCCTCCGCGCACTGCCCCGCCCCTTCCATCAAACTTCCTAGCAGTCCCATACAAAAGTTTCATTCGATCAAGTTATAATTCAGCTGGAGGCTCCGATGGGGAGATCAGCTTTCCTCGAAAAGCTCGGATCCTCCGCCGGTGCCTCGTCCCGATCCAGCTCGGCATCAGCTGCTTCGGAGAAAAACCCGGCTTAGCGCTCCGTCCGCCGTGGTCCGCCACGTGGGCTTAAGAGAAATCCACACGGCTAAGCTCAAAATCGCCCCCGGCAGCCGGCTCGGACTCGGATCTATTACCCAACGGCACGACACAGTAGCTCAAATTCATCAACGTGAACGGGATACGAAATCTTTTTCGAAAAATTGAGAAACGCAAAAGACATCTCCGTCGGTGCGCGTCGTTGATAAAGCTCCGAACACACTTCTGCCGCACTGGTAAAAAAAAAAAAAAAAAAAAAAAAAAAAAAAAAAAAAACAGATTGGATCTAGAGTCCAGACTCTTGAAAACGTCGAAAAGAAAAAAATGCTCTTGATTCAATCGGATTTTTGCTTAAATCAAGAACCAAGCCTCTTAATTTGAGCGGATTTCCTTTTGATTTAAGCTTAAATCTGCTTGAATCAAGAGTCTTTTTTCTTGTCGATGTTTTTAAGAGTCTGGACTCTAGATCCAATCTGTTTTTTTTCCAGTGTATGTCTTGTCTTATCGTGCCGACATGGCCATAGTTAAAGTTTCGACAATCCGGCTGCTAGACAAGTCTTACACGCAACTTCCCGTCAACCCTGATGACATACCAGGTAACAGATATCTATTAATCTATCTCTCTATATACGAATGTACACTATTGAATCTATTCTTTTTACTGATTTATTTACATATATTTAAATGCTGATTTAGTAGTGCAGCACTTACATATTATATGAGCTATTCCTCCATTTCTCTCCTTACTTATGGGTACATTCAACATTAAAAAATTTTACAGTTTTGTTGGCGCTAATAGGCTTGTTGCGCTGGCCAGGTAATGCACTGTGTTAGGTGCAATGCGAGAAGTATTCCTGCACTCTGGTAGGCACTGATATGCGTTTGCGCCGACCGGCGACCGCAAGCCGTGTTTGGCGCAATGCGTGAAGTATTCCTGCAGTCTTGTAGGCGCTCATATGCATGTCAATGTTTTCAAGAGTCAGGACTCTAGATCCAATGTGTTTTCTTTTTCCAGTGCGTGCTAAAGGAAAAACGTCGTATGGGCATTCGAATGTTGCCAAATTGTCTCTTGTAAAGTATTTATTTTTGAGGAAACTTAAGAATGTTTGCATTGAAATTTTCAGACTTATTAGAGCAAATTACAAGCAACATTTTCTGAAGAATTGTAAGAAAATTATTCATCAATTTTCCCGAAAATTCGTGATAATTCGAAGGATATTTGGAAACGCCTGAAGACCCATACGGCGTTCTTTCTTAGCACGGCAGAATTTACCACCCTGATTGCAATAGAACTTCGAAAGTCTATTCTGCCGCGCTAAGGGAAAACGCCGCATGAGTCTTTAGACGTTGCCTGATTTGCTTTCCTAAAAATCGAATTCATTGGAAAAATTGAGAATATTTTTTTCCGAATTTTTCAGGTAATTTTGTTCGCACCTTGCTCTAATATATCCGAAAATCTCACGGAGAAAAATGCATGAAATTCCTCAAAAATACATGTTTTATCCGGAGAAATTTGGCAATTCTTGAATGTTAATACGGCGTTCTTCCTTATCACGGCAGTATTGCGAACGAAACGCATATCGATCACGGAAATAAAGAGGAAGGGGTTAAGACCTAACTTGATTAGGGAGCTTAAAATTGTGGTAGTGAACCGATAAACTAGGTTACTAACTCATATATGTATGTCGCGGTGCTATCCCTTGAGTTGCGGTACTAGCACAATAAATTGGAAATACCCATATTACCCCCAAAAAATGGGGTACTGCTACAATTTTAGGGAACGACCCCTGAAACTTATGTTTCGTGAAAAGATAGAAAATTGATCGAGCTTTGATATAAATTAATGTGTGAAAGATAACGCGGCCTGCAAAATATCTATTTTTCACGAATTACGATGAGAGGATTTCCTTCAATATCGGAGGATGCGACTATTTAGACTTGGAAGAGCCGTTTTTGCCTAAGCAATCGAAATGAAGGCAAACCTTACTTAGCGCCACACAGTACAGAGGTCGTGGTTTTCAGTGGCTGAAAAAGGGCGGTTCTCCTTTATTTGAGCAATTAGGCAGAAATGGATCTTACCAGTTAAAATAGTTGTATTCTCAGAGATTGATCCGATCCTTAACGGTTATGCAAGAATCCGACACTGGAAAAAAAAGCACATTGGATCTAGAGTCCAGACTCTTGAAAACATTGACAAGAAAAAATACTCTTGAATCAAAACGAAATCCGCTTAAAATAAGAGGCTTGGTTCTTGATTTAAGCTAAATTCTGATTGAATCTAGAGTACTTTTTCTTGTCGATGTTTTTAAGAGTCTGGACTGTAGATCCAATGTGTTTCTTTTTCCAGTGGATGGTTATCATAGTACAATAGAGCAGTACAAAGTTGTTGTTCAGGCGGAATTTTCCGAAACATTGATAGAATTATAACTGTATAAAATACAAAAAAGTCCCTTCCGGAAAATGAGAAAATCAATTGGTTCCGCATTCTTTCACGAGAACGAATAATCATTGATCACATTGTAACGGAGGAGGAAAAAAGTTCCACGAGTTTGATTTCCGTTGAATTAATCCCTTTCAGTCGATTCCTTTCAATTGGAATGCGATTTAATTAAAAAGGGCTGTGAAAAAAAGGGAGTGAAACAAACCACTCGACACATTCAGAATTACTGCGCTCGTGACATTAAACAGACTTCCGCTTTCCGCCACATTAAAGACGTCATCTTTTTTCAGCCACCGATGGTGTTTTCCACGCAAACAAACTTCCGTGCTGACGAATCTACCCTGTTAGATATGCTCAACATGCGACAGGACTGGGATGAGCGAACTACGTCACTCATTCCGGGAGGCATCCAGAATCCTGAATCAAAATTTTGAAAGTCTTCGTTGTCAATTAGGTAGCCGGGACGGGTGCAGTTGAATAAATAATTCGTCTTTGCACTCGGTTGAATTTTGATGGGTCTTTCGGTCTTGGGGGTCTCTTGAGTGCGTGTTGTAAAAACTAAGTGCATTTAGAAGCATCTTCTTGAAACACAAGCTGAAATATTTCGACTTAATTTGGTGATAGACTAGCATCGCTACTGATTCGAAAGAACACTTCAGTGAAATCAGAAGGAGGAGGAGGTTGGCGACTAAATTCACCTACAGGTAAATGACAAAATTAAGATACAAAGTCAGTATTTTGTGCATGAAGGATAATTTTAAGAGGAAAAGTTCTCGAAGTTCGTTAGAGGTATGCTACTCCTGAATAAACTGAATGTGAAGTAAGCTATCTTAAAAATCCTATTTCTACTTTTTCCTATGAAAGTAGTGCCAATTCGTGATATTGGTGAACAGAAAGCTTATACTTGATAAATAAACACCAACATTCTGAGAGGACAAAGATAACTGTTTGCTACATTCATAATATAATGCATACATCAAAGAATTTCACTTTATCTTCTAGTGCGAAGTTATGAGAAAGAGTACGCTTTAGACTCAACTGTTGAGCACATCAGGTTTAGGGTGGATAGACTCAGCTTGCTGGAAGAGTAAGACATTACGAGAAACACTCACATAAAAATTTAGTTGAGCAATACTTCTTCAAGTCCTTTCTGACAGTTTTCTCTACTACACCAAGTGTTTGAAACGCAGAAAAGCAGTAGGCATAGAGAAAAAAAAGGAGGTGTTTGCATTTCGGGCATCTTGGAATTTTTTGATGACTTGATGACGTAGGTGGGTACAGTGTGAAGGGGACGTCTCTGTACCCAGCTGTACCCACCTACGTCATCAAGTCATCAAAATATTCCAAGATGCCCGAAATGCAAACACCTCCTTTTTTTCTCTATGAGCAGTAGGTATCGTTCACAATAATACAAAAACTGAAATTTCAAAAGCCTTTCAGGTAGGTTATAGGTATACATTGAAAATACAATCTTTGTCACAATTCCGCGAAGCTAATGAAATTTGTTTTCATTCCCGTTGAGTTTTAGAGTAAAAAATCCATAAAATTGTCCATGGGTTCATGAAACAGAAGGATGAAAAACATCCGAAAACAAACAACCGTAGTTCTCTGCGATTAATTTCCCTCCCACATTGACTGGAAAAGCTTTATAACTTTGGTACGGAAGCACACAAAAATACGTATCCACGTGACGGTAAAAACACATACAGAATTTCATTTGCGGCGGGCAGAGAAAAAACCACCTTCTATAGATTCACACAACGGCGCACTTTGCAGTTCGCAATATCGGACGAAAAAAATTCACACGTCAATCTCGGTGGCATCAATGAATGACGAGATATTTTCCTCATCGTGGATTCAGAAGTCACGCACGTATGGCGTATATACTCTGTATACTGACTTCGTTTCGATCTCTTCAGAGCAAAACTTGGAAATTAGGAGAGATATAATTATAACACTACATGTGTCATGTCTGAAGGAAGTTGCAATTTCTGTCATTATTCAAAACCTGCAGATGGCAAAATACTCGCGAGATGACATTTACACACAGAAAAAGGGAAAATTCAAGAATTCATCTGGTTCGGGATGAAAAAAAAATTTAAAAAACTGCTAGCTCCCAATTATTTTATTTTAACTATTCCCAAGCGAGAAAAAGTCGCTACAAGCACTTTGAAGTGATACTTTCTTATCAGTGCATTTTGAGGGGGCGGGGGGAAATCGAAGAGGTGAAGAAGTGAATAAACCATTACAAAACAACAATTACAAACCCTATCCAAGTAAAAATGACTGGCATAATATCACATAATTAATTCTGGGTTGACGATATGCACCATATGCCCGAAAAGCTGTTTGGCTTGACATTACATTCAGAATACATCGGCTATTTGTATTAAAATATTTTCCTGAGGAGAAAAATTATTTTTTATATTTCCCGTTACTCTTAATGCTATTATTAAAATCAATAAAAACCATGTTCAACTAATGTTATCTAGATCATACTAATGTCATAATGTTGCATTACCACCATGTAAATATCAGCATCACTCACTAGGTTACGAATATGAACACATTATGTTTAATGAAGTCGTCATTTCTGCCAAGTGGACACGGAGGTACTAAACAAACTCTAGCAAGTAACGTCATAAAATACCTTCAGCCTTTCAAAAAGGTATATCTAATATTGCCGCATGGAATATTTATCTAATAATTGTTGTAATATTATTTCTTTTACGGTGTTTCAGCAGTACCGAGACTACACGATAGAATATCCAAAGAAGATCGGTTGTGGTCAAAAACAGAATTCTACTGCTTCTGGATTCGACAACAGCAACTGAGAGGTTTCATTCACTACGCGGCAACCATTGTCGCGCTCTTACAACGTTGCGCCGTGCCATGTAGCAATCCGCTAAACACAAGCTCAATGCTCCACGGCATCTCACCGTAATCCGTCAAACACCCTCGCCACCACACAGACGAAAACCAATGGGCTCGATTCACGTGTTAATTTTCTTGCTGGCGGCGATGAGCCAGTTCCCCGAGGCACTCGCGATTCCCAAGTTCCTCATGTCCGCGGGACAGCGTATCATGATGTTCCGGGAGTGGTGGAAGCAGATGTGGGCCAACTTCAAGAAGTTCTGCGCCCAGCAGCGCGGCGAGTTCAAGCGCCACATGAGCGGGGGCGGAGGATTCGACGCTGACGTCTTCGCCGACGACGAGGACGAGGACGAGGAGGGGGGTGGCAACGGGGTTGGCGACGAGGACGGAGACGGACAGGAGTCCTTGGAGAAGATGCAGAAGAACCCCGCGTTCCTCAAGTACCTACGCGACCAAGGAGTGAAGCCTCCTGGACTTGGCTTGTCCTCGGGGAGCCGTCCAGGCAAGAGGCTTAAATGGATCCCTTTACGCCAAGCCTTAAACTTAAACCCAAGGCCGAGGCGTAGGGCCGCCCCGCGCAGGAGAGGTCGCCGTGCCCGTCCAGCTCGACGCTTTGTTAAATGAGCTTAGAACTGGTCTCTCCTAAGACTTTTTGTTTATTTAAAATTCCTACAAGAATATGTTAAAGGTGCTTCCAACAAACCTTGAGCCCATAGATTTTAGTAATCTCCGAAAGTAATGTCAGCTCAGCATGGGCGTGGCTATGAAAGGGCCAGGGTGGGTCTGCCCCATAGGCGGAGGGCTTTCCCTAAAAAATTGTCTGCATTTTAAGGCATCAAATATGCAGTTTGAGATATTTTCGTCATGAATAATTGCCAAACGTAAGCGTCCTTTCTTCTTCCCTCCGTTCCTTCCCTCTCTCTTTCTTCCATTTTACTTTCTCCTTTTTTCGGGTGGACCAGGGGGGTGTACACCTTCTACGCCCCCCTTCCTTGGATCCGCCTTTGGCCTGCCCTCCTCGGCATTTGAATGACATAAAAAATCTGCATGATAGAAAGTAGCCTCAAAAACGGTGAATTTCCTCGCTGGACTGCATGATGCGATAAAAAAAAGGGGGGGAAAGTTTGAGCTTCACTTTCAACACTGAAAACAGCTCGGTTTATGAACTGAACGTTCAGTGTTCTTTATCCCCCTAACTATTCCGTTACTGAAGCTCATCAGTCCACAGTGCCAAGTACCTACCATACATTCGAACGAGTTTACTGGAGCATGTTCTATCAATTGTATAATTGAGTTTGTAATGAAAAAAAAAAAAAACATGATATTGAAAAGACTTGGGATTTTCCAAGTATAACTATGCGAGCGATTGCAATTTTGAATTGATAATGATTTAGACGTACATTTGAAATAAAATCTGATTTTTACGCTGACAAGCGACCGATTCAGCGTTCAACTTTATTGACATTCCGCGCATCGATAATGAAAGTAAAAAAATAGTGTATTTTCTTCGGAAAATATATTAAAACATGTATCTCAGCTTGCTGCGTAACAAAATAAGTACCACGTTTTAGGGGCTTGAAGGACTAAGCGCATAAGTGCAGTTTTTGCTATTTCGAGAAATACGTGTTTGAAGTTTTGAAATTACATGGGTCCTTGTGACGGGAAGAAAGTTCAAGCTGACTTTTAAATGCTTAACAATTGGAGTTTGCGAGAAATTTTATCACAGAATATGCATTATGAATAGTTTTACTTGAAATCATGAATACATCAAATTTTTCAAAAACTGCACTTATGCGACTTGTCTCCGAGCCGCTCACTTTAAATAATCATGAAGACAAACCGTTTTCGATTTATCGGATGCTGAGTATCTATTCCGAATAAAAATATTTTTACAAAATTTCATGGAAGAAAGTGAGGTTATTGTGTTCTGCAAAAAAAGCAAAACTAAAACTTCTCGAACATCGCAACCAAGAGACGTGTTATCTAGTCTCATCGCCGATGCAGAGGGCGAGGAAATTCTGTATTTTCTTAGATTAAAATTTAAGGAACAACAATGGTCACTTACTGACTAAAAGGCGCGGATGGCATTAAAATGATTAAGCCCTATTCGCTGCTCCCTCTCAGAATGCAGGCGTTAGAAAAAGAAGAATTAATGTCCGGATGAAGAACGCGAAAAGTGAGCGATAAAAGTGAATAAAAGCAAAGAACCGACTTCAACCAGGTGCAATTAAAATTTTACATATGCAGGGGTGCCGGCTTTAGCCGATAATTTTCTTTATTCTCAAAGAAGAGAAAGAGGTGTTGCTTACAATGGCTTGTCGCGATCTCTCCATCACTTACCTCTAATAATACTGAATTTTAAATACTTCATGCAGATTTGTAGAAAAGTCTGAAATTTAGCAGTTAACGACAGTCCGTCGTCATTATTATCCGACACAACAATTAAAAATTGCTCCAAGAGTGAGTAACAGTTACGAATGCGAAGAGAACCAAAAATTAATTTGAGGTATAAAGAAAGAGAAGGGAAAAATCTTGAGGTGACTTTTGCTTGAAAACACATTCCTTTTAGGATTCCAGCGTTTTAAAAATCTCTCCTCTCTTTTTTATATCTTTCATCTCCAGAAAAGCCGTCCAAAATTAGGCACAGGCATCCCTCTGAATTTTCGGGAAACATCACACCGAATCTACCACAGCAGAGCGAACCTCTAAAATAAATTTTATTAGTTTTCTCGGAAAAGCGATAAAATTCGAGCGGCATCCTTCAGCATTGTCGGGATGTCTCTTTCTTGTGACTGAACTTAAATTGGAGACCTAGTGTCAATTTTCAGAGCTATTCTGAATAAAACATCTCAATAATTATGCCTATATAAAGTATCTCGGCTCTAAGGAAGAGGGAGGACACCTCACACAAAGAAGATGAGTAATAATGACCAATCATCGATGATGACCAACATCTGACATATACATTCCGATTTGGCGGCAAATCGAATTTATTCGGGAAATTGGCAGCCGTTGAATGACAGTTCCGCTGCATCGCGGGACGCGGGACGAGACGATAAAAATTCAGCGCAAAATTCGGTTTCTCGGAATTGGGCACTAACTGGGCGCTGTTTTAAGACCAAAGCTGGTGAGAAAAGCGGGACGGACATAAAAAAAATTCACGATGATAAGCACGTGGGAATTCTGGTTCCCACAGCGTTGCCTCATCATTCGGATAAATCATAAAAATTGAGAAGGCTAAACTGCTGTGCTTGGGAATAACGCCATAAGAAGATTCGAAACTTGCCAAATTTTTCCTGGAAAAATATTCATTTCGGAAAGAAGGTATAAAAATATTTTTTTTTTTTGGCATTTTTCGATACTCTGATATTAAAGTTTTAAGAAATTCTGCGAAAAAAATCGAAGGAAAATCAAATGTTAGCATATACTATTTTTATCAGGAATGATTTTGCAACGCCTGAATGCTCATACGTCGTTCCTAATCAGCACAGCAGTTTCGCAGTAGTCGATGAGTTGCAATTCGTGATGTTTATGCCACGAAATTAAGTTTGATTTTTTTCTCTCTCTCTCTCTCTCTCCCCTCCCCCTCTTTCTTTTAATACTGAGGGAGAGGGATCTATTAGAATAACGAATAAGGATACGCGGAAACAAACTGACGGCAAAGGCCAACAAGATATCCAATTCTGATTTATTTCACTCAAAATATATTACAATTTTCTTTCGGTGTTCAACAGTTAAACACCCACACGATCAGCACACCCTTTTCATGTCCGCAAATTACATGACGTTTATTGAAAGAGTTAGAAAAAACAACGAGTATTATTTCCGAGTAAAGATGACGTCATCGACAGAGAATTCTTCAATGGCTTGAAATTATTCTTGCGTACAATCGTTAGAAAACGTCCACAAAGGGATACGGGGGAAAAAATAAATCGAGAGCACTCACTTCGCTCCGCGTGGCAGGGACGCTGGGACGCATCCCTTCAACCTCCTCCACTCGAAGCATTCGTCACGATACTTTATATTCATTCAGTTTCGTCCCGTTCAAAACGGAACGAAAAGAAGGTTAAAATAAAAGTTGTCTTGAAGCAGGTCGAGTCTCTCTCAACCTTCTTATTATTCAGAAAACAGAGTTTAACCTACTTTTCCTCCTCCGCAAACGCTCCGTCTTGAAATGTACTAAAAAGCGACTTGCGGATGACATCACCGATTATTATGCCCCGGGCGCATTTCAGTTGCGTATCTTTGAAATATCCACTCACAGTTAAATAAAATCGATTTCAATTTTTTTTTAAAAAAACCATTTTCCGGTACTTGATCCGGAGCTTCTTAAGAGTGTTTGCATTATTCCAGGTCAACATCAACTTATTGACTGCTGTCTCGCATAGAATGTTGAAATAATTATTGTGATCTACGCGAGTAGTTGACGTTTTAATCTTACTTCCTTCTTCGACGAGAGTAAACTTCTAATTCGAAATGCTTACGGCTATAAAAAGTCGACGGATCTATTAAAGGAGCTGTGCCTCCTGACCACTTTGCGATCCAACCACCCAAAGTACATGGTCGCCGCCAAAATTGCATTAAAAAAAAAAAAAAAAAAAAAAAAAAAAAAAAAAAAAATTATTTCCCTGCAGATTTAAAGAGCTTATAGCTCTGATTGCGAGCTATTTTAGAAACAAAACTTTATGTATGAAAAAAGTCTCGTTTTGACGCATTTTCATGGAACAAGCTCAGCCTGCATAGTCTAGCGGTTTGACTGAGGGACACCCAGCATCAGTGGCGACTCTTAAGAATTGCCAACACCGGGCTTCGACTTTTAATTCAGTGTCAAATAAACGATACGTATCGATTCTGGGTGAGGTTAAGAAACGATTGTTCATAATGGTGTTAAATGAAGGAATAGCAGGGTTGTCAGCTCTTGAAATCGCTATAATGCCCCGCGTGGGCGATATGGAGCTGAGGAGCTCATCGGACTATTACAGACACAGACAAACGAAAAGGCGACGATCAATCACACATATGTGTTAAGAGATGTTTTTTATGAGGTGATAAAATTTCATGCAGGAATCGCCCGCATAGTCATTCAATTGCCGAAAGTCAAGAAATTGCCGATTTTAACCCCCAAATAAAAACGAGACGCCTTGCCTCTTCAATCACATTTTAGAGGTTTCCAGATATTCTGAAGGAGACATGCTTTTAATATTACGGTTTCCAACGGAAATAAAACTTATTGTAAGACATTTAAATCAGAGAGTAATGATTTCCTAGTTGCACTTTTAGCACTTAACTACGCGTACCATTCATATCCTAAAACTGAGCTAATCACAATGTCATGTTTGAAGAGAACGTAAGAAAAATCATTCTCCTTCCTCTGCCTTGAGTATTTGGAGTTTTTGCTGGATTCCGTGAAAAGCTCCATGCTTTTTGGAAATCAAGAAAACCTTTCTAGAAGAGATATGACCAAATGACCTACTTTGCTTTTATACATGCGCTTAGAAAGGAAATGCCATCTGATGACGTTACAAGGCGGCAGATTTTCTCACTTTAAAATCTATTTTACACCATTTCCAATATCAGACAACAATTATGAAAAATACTCTGAACGCAGCACGTTAAGCACTCTCAAATGCAGCGATAAAAATTTTAAGTGCAAAATCTCCATTGCTCTCAAAGAAGAAAAAAAACAAACGAACGAACAAGAGAATAAACTCGTAAGTTTTTGGTCCTCCTTTTTCAAAAATATCCAAACGCACGCATACGTAATAATTGCACAAAACTAGAAAATTTAGGCACTCACATTTACAAAATTTTACAGAAACTTTCGTGGTGTTCTGGAGGTTTCTACAAAATTTCTAGGAAAGGAACAAAAACCGCTACTCAGCTGCAACGGACTTACTATCACTGCGAATATTTCAGCGCTCGGAGGTCCTTGAGACACTTCAAACGGTTGACGAACAGCAAGGTAACCGAGCGCGCTGCGCGCCCCACCGCAATATCTACGAGCTGGATATGTTGACGAATCCTCATTTTACGATCTCGAGGACCAACTCTTAAAATTTCGCTTTTCTCAGAACTGGCTATTAATATTCGAGCGGGATGAAAAAGGTTCACGACCGGAAACGACTCCCTTGCCAAATAGGGGCGATAAAAGAAAAATTTAGAGCCAGAAAGGAAACCACAGGAAGATCCTGTGATATTAGCCACGGAAATATGATATGACTTTGGATGACTATCAATCTCTCCGGTGATTTCCAGTTACTTTTACGACACTGAAAAAAAAAAAAAAAAACTCCGGCCGTGAAAGCCGTACTTACGGGCTACATAGACATACCGTCCGCGTGCTGGGCTCAGAAACTGAAAATTCCGGGCATAGCACCCGGAGCAATCGAAGCTACGGCTCCAGCGTCCGGAACTTTCAGCGTCTGAGCCCGGA